ACATTGCTCCCTCTACCTGAAATAATTTCCCCCATCTCTGCAGAAAACTCCTACTCATTTTTCAAGACCCATCTTACACATTGTTGCCTCCTATATGAAGTTTTCTTCTATTCCAAGTTAGTCATTTCTTCCACTTTTACCATTCACTTTCTATTTTCCCCTGGTGTTCTGTTTTCCCCTCTAGATAGTGAAAACTTCCACCTTATTATTAATTGTATTTTTATTGATTTTAGGTATTCAACAATGTTTATTAATAAATGCATACAAGCCTTTTATAGAAACGTCCATGGGATTAACCCTCCCACGGCCAGTGGAAAACTGCTCCACTGAATAATGTCCCACACTGAATGACACAGAATCTTTCAGGGGTTTTTTTCTGTCTTTGTTCCTAGAAAACTGAAATTAAATGAATACTCAATTTTAGTAACCCAAGGTCCTTGTTATATTCAGTTCTGTGATATTTTTATTTGGTCTTCATTTAGAGTTATCTATGAATTATCCATTATTTAATAAGTTTTACCATCAAATTCTTTTTTGGAATGTAATCAGGTAAAGCACACCAACATTGAAATATAAACAAAAATTTTATACCATGAAGACTGCATTTCCAGAATACAGATGTTTTAAATGGATCTAATTACTCTCATCAATACTGAATAGTAATTTCCAACCCTGATTCTATGTTAACCCAGCATCTCTCCAGTTATTTCAAGAGATGTCATAAAATTTCCACAGAAAAATCTGCCTTAATTTTGTGTGCCTATACCTTAAGTGTTTAAATGATATGTGCATAAACCAACACTTTTGGGGAGGAAGGTGAATGAACTAGAAACCTGAAAATGTTAAACACACACCAACAACAAAAATAATAGAATGTCACATTCCAAAGAGGCTGGAGATCATTAACAAGGAGAGTCCAGAATATTCTGTGCTCCAAGGTTTATTTGGCATATAAGCATATTTTGTAACCTGAGTTCTCCACATTATTTCATCCATCTTAGAGAATTGGTGTCTGTTGCCATAGCCTTAAAAATAATCTTAACAATGTCGATTTTTAAGTTTGAGCCCTAAATTCCTATTGAAATTAATAATTTTAATTCACCTTTTCCTACAGATAATTCCTGGTAAAAAGACTAATTTAGTGCCTGTGGTCAGTTCTTAAGGCAAGGCAATTAATTAACGAGGAAAGTAGCATCCACCTATACTGGACTGGAGAAACTTCATAGAATAAATATGCAAATCCAATATCCGCAAGGCTGACAAGTTTCTATTATTAAACTGCTAACATGTTTATTTCCCCTACAATAGCTGGATTTTTGTCATGAATACGCATTAAGCCCTGTAGTTATTAGCTGTGATGACTAGGTGACAGTGAGGACACTACTTGAGAATTTGCATTTGACAGATCATTGACACACAGTCACAGTTCTTTTTTTTTCTCTTCACTTAAACAGGAATCATGCAATAGGAAATGAACTGGAGCTATTAGAGATTATTCAGGTTTAATGGCACACATCCTTTTAGCTGGCGGTTAGAACAATACACAATGTGGCAGAGTTAAACAGAGGCATCAATTATACCCTCAGACCTGTTAATATTTTTGACAATATTTAAATAGCACATCCCTTCAGGGCATGGCTTTTTTGCCCTCTCAGTTACACACCTGTCAAGTGTTTAATTTGCCAAAGGGAAACAGTTTGATTTCTAAGGGCAGTCTTAATGCTAAAGAAGCAAATTGGAAAAAATTAAACATTATTGAATAGAAGTAATGAGGAGGATCTGAGGGAAAAAAAATTGTAGGCTTAATTCAACATGGCATGTCAGCATCTGTCATTAATGCAACAATATGATCATGTTCTCCAATATGCTGCATATACCTCAGGCTTTTCAATTTTCACTCCTTTTGCTTCTCTAAAAGAAAGGAGAATGATGGAGGGGAAGAATCAGAGGATTAAATCTTCTACTAAGAGTAAAAAAGATGAAGATAGTAACTTGCACCTGTCATGTATATAAAATTATACATCTGAAAACACATAGGGAATAAGGGAAGCTAGCTACTGGTCAGATTTGTGTACACACTGGTTTAAAAGCATGAAGCAAATTTCATTCCTTAGGCGCATTAAATTATTAAATTAAAAATATTAATAAGTTAGCAGGTGGTAAATTACATTACAAAGTCTAGAATATTTATATTTAGATTTTAAAACAGAAAATAATATAAGTCTTTTAAATTTTTACTCTAGTAATATAAGGAAAAAAACTGATTAACAAATGAAATGGAATTAGTAAAGTATGGAGATTAAAATGAAAAGTCAAGCTGGATGCGGAGGCTCATGTTTATAATCCCAGCAACTCCAGAGGTTGAGTCAGGATGGTTGCTTGAGGCCAGGAGTTCAAGACAAGCCTGGACAACAGAGTGAGACTCTGTTTCCCCAAGAAAAAAAATTAGCTGGATGTGGTGGTGCATGCCTATAGTCCCAGCTACTCTGGAGACTGAGGCAGGAGGAGGTTTGCTTGAGCCCAGGAGTTCAAGGCTGCAGTGAGCCACCGTGGACAACTGCACTCCAGCCTGGGCAACAGTGAGACCCTGTTTCTAAAAAGAAATATAGGCCGGGCGCGGTGGCTCAAGCTTGTAATCCTAGCACTCTGGGAGGCCGAGGCGGGCGGATTGCTCGAGGTCAGGAGTTCGAAACCAGCCTGAGCAAGAGCAAGACCCCATCTCTACTATAAATAGAAAGAAATTAATTGGCCAACTAATATATATATATAAAATTAGCCGGGCGTGGTGGCGCATGCCTGTAGTCCCAGCTACTCGGGAAGCTGAGGCAGAAGGATTGCTTGAGCCTAGGAGTTTGAGGTTGCTGTGAGCTAGGCTGACGCCACGGCACTCACTCTAGCCTGTGCAACAAAGCGAGACTCTGTCTCAAAAAAAAAAAAAAAGAAATATAAAGAGGAATGAATGAATTAATGGATGAATGAATGAATAAAATAAAGAGTCACAGAAACTGTAAGGCGTTATCAATGGTTTTAAACAAAATGAAATTCTTGGCATCTAGGGACCAAGTTTCTGATGTAAGATAGATTAGAGAGTCAAAAAAAGGAAAGGGCTATGCCTTGTAAGCCAAGAAAACTGAGTTCTAGTTCTGGATCTACTCTCATAAAGAAGTCATTTAACCTCTCTAAGCCACTGTAATCTACATGGTGTAAACTAGATACTTTCCTTGGTCTCCTTCAGTGTTAGTTTTCCCCTCTATGGGTAAATTAACCAAGGAGTCCACAGGCCAAAAACATGTAAGACTTGCCTATAGAATTTGCATATCTCACAACTTACTTAGTCTTGAAATATATTGGTGTCTATCATTAATAAAACAATAAGATCATACTCTACGTAGTTATAGGCCCAACAGATTTATAGGTTTCATCTGAATCACATGGGACCCAAACAGTCTTAGAATCCATATCCTACTTCTATTTGGAAATGGTAAAACATGCTCAACAAGAAGGCCCATTTTCCCCCTCCTTTAGCAGAAACAGTATGCACAAACATTATTCCCCTTGCATATGGCTGGCTAGAAGGGAAATTTCAACAGTTATCTCACTTGGCTAGTGGTGTTTCCCAATACACTTGCTAGTCCTCTTTTTGTTTCAACTTTTCCTCCCACCCTAACCATATTTTCACATAATATAATAAAGAGAAGAGATATCTGTTCAACCTCTTAATACTTTGAAAAAACAGATAATTTTCATAATTATGCTTCTATTCAGGATATTGGTTTCTCCAAAAGCTTGCCAACCCATTCTGAAAATCAGTGTCAAAAACCAATCTTTTCAATAACTTGCAAAGGGGACAAACATAACTACATATAACAAAAACACCTTTTTAAATTCATGATCATACCTTTCACAATCATTAGAAATTCACTATTAAAAATATTTTGGAAGATTCTTCTTGATTTACTTTTGCTACAAAATATCTAGATTAAGAAGTTGCATGACATAAACAGATTCCTTCTCTATTATTATTATTTGTTCTTTTGCATTAGGCACATTTTTGGAGATTTTTAATTTTTAATTAAAGCTGTTCTTTCACTAAATTATGAAACTAGCCTTTAAATTTCATTTTTAACCTTTTAAGGTAAAATATTTGCTATCAAGTCATCTACAACCATTACATTAATGCTAAAAATATTAGAATGAGAACTAACTTGGATTAAAGGCATAATTAGCTTAACTTCAAATCTTGTAAAGATAACAACCCTTTTAAAAACATTTTTTTAAAAACCTGAGAAATTATTATTAAATTTAGTAAGTTCAAAGAACATCTGACTTCAACTTTCATTCTGTCATTGTGATATGTTTCAATTTTAACATAAATGCTAGGGCTTTTTAATGCTCACAATTTTTACAGAAAAAAAACACTGTGTTACATTTAGAAGTTCTAATGTTTATCACCATCTGACGCTGTCATGGAAGCAATTGCTACTTACACTCTTTTAAGAAGTGAGAACTGCAATTCCTTTAACTGATGACAATGTAATTATTCCTTTTACTGTCAAAATAGAGGTGATTTCCCTTCCTCATACACATGATTACACATGCAAATCCAGGCTTATCTGAAATCTTATAAGTGTACTGAATGTCTGAATCTGAATAAGCAAGATCACATGAACAATGAGCCTTAGGGATGATGGAAACCAAGTCTACAGCCTTCTACCCTAAACATATTTTTATCATCCCCTTCTCCTGTAGGAATTCATTCTTCGGCATCCACACAGCTTTCAACACAATGTCATATCATCTACAATATACAGCAACAACCATTACAAAAATAACTAGAAGGAAAAAAGTCACAGTGAATCTGAATGTCTCGTTTGGAGGTTTAAATGACTTCATTAACTATTCATTAACATAGAAAAATCAGCCTTTCAGAAAAATGCAAGTCTTTCACAATATCTATGTCATGCCATGAATGCCTGCTTGGATGAATAATAATGTCCTACCTGGTCTTTCAGCTGCTGTACGGATGTCTGAAGGTTCAGAATTTGACTGAAGAGAGGGCTCTGCAGGACTGACTTGAGAAGGCTCAGTTTGTCTTCATTTGCTACGTCTCCACGTTCACGCAGCTTGGTTTGCAAGCGCTCTGCTGCCTGCAGGGCCCGATTTTTGTCTATACCAAAGAGCAGCATTAGTCAATAACAGGATTCAAAGGACACATGTCTAATCTATGAGAACTCCATCTTGTAGAAATCCTAAAACTATTCCTTTCAAGTGTACAAAACTCTCTTTTTAATTGAATAAAAAAGTGTAAAAAAAAAAATAAGTTTTTTAGTACAAAGATACGAAATAGAGTATGTTTTAATACTTTAAATATCTTTTCCAAAATTAAATAGCAGACAGCATACTTACATAGGCTTCAAACCAATCTAATTCAAATAATTACTGAATACTTTACGAATCAGGCACAAAGTTTAAAAAGTAAATACTTTGAATAAGTATGTCCTAAAAGTCCTTGCATCTTACATGCATACTTCCACCAGACAATGGAACTACCACAAATAATAGTTAAAAACATCTCCATGAAACACATACCTATAAATACATGTACACTTATACTTTGTAAGTGAAGCCAAATTTTTTTTAAATGGAGATTGTTCAGATACAAGTCCTAATAGATTCATGGTGGTAACAAATGTATCTATTAAAATATATTTGTCACATCATAGTAATTTTAAAAACTAGGGGAGTGAAAGAGGGTGAGGCAAATAAAAAAGGCAGTATTCATCACCAGAGATACTTTCTATAGCATCAAAACTGAAATTGCACAAAAAGGGGGTAATTAAAACACATATTGATGTTGATCATGAGTTCACATACACACAAATTGAAACAAACAATATTTACTCATATGCAGAATTTTAAAACTTATAAAAATACACATGAGAGTTTTATTCTGGGTCGTATTTCCCATGTTATCCCAAAATACAAATCTAATATTAGTTCCCATGTCAATTATTGGAAAGTATGCAACTCAGTTATAGATAACAGAATAAAGACTAAAAAATAAGAGTTTAAATCATTCTGACTCCCTTTGCCTTTCCACTTTCTTATAAGGAACATTCCAGTGTGGACTAGTAGTCTTTACAGTATGTGCCGCATCTTGAGTACAATATGGAAGATGAATGAAATGAACATCCATGAATGTTCATTACCAGCATAGTGACAAGAAAAAAAGAAAAAATATGTCACAGTAATAATCTCCATGATCACAATACAGCTCCTTCTCCCTTCACTGCCACTGACTCTCACCCTACACCTCATAACCCTAAGCTGTCAAGGTATCAGCCGGAATCATCAAGGTGCCAGAGTGAAATCCAGATACTTTCCATTAGTCCTACCCAAAGAGTTACCAGGAATAGGTAAGAGACTGGACTGCCAGATGACTACAGGTATGGAACATATACGATACACCTGTAAATATAATAGTTCTGCAAACTGGTTTCTCTAAAACTAAAGAGTAGTGGGGGAAAAAGATGAACACACACATGAGTCTAGGAAATTTGGATGTTTCAATCTAAATTATCTCAAGAAGAAATTAAACTGCCTTAAATGAAGTTTGTCAGCCTAAGGATTATTGTTCTTTTTATCAATTAAGAGCAAGAGAGCTCAGTAGTTCTTGACCTGCCACAAATAAAAGTAATAATCTACTTTCAGTATTAAAAATACTGTTAAACTTTTAGGTGTTATCCAGAAATAAACATTAACCAGAATTGAGTTCATAAAATTGAGCTTCTACTAAGCTTTATTAAAATCCAAAATTAGAAGAATATTTCATATGTTTTAACTTTTGCTTACAAATGATATGTTTTTTATACTCTTCAGATACAACTGTTCCAATACAGAAACATACAACCCTAGTACAATGCTAGTGGTAAAGACTTCATAATTCTAAGTTACTACAGACAGAATATTGCCATATAGAACATATTATAACATAATATAATATATCAAAGATCCTAATGGAAGGAGTTTCAATTCTTATAAACATGGGCAGAAAGGAATAAGTCTTACCAATGGTTTCCAACATTTTTTCAAAGTTCAGTGTTCTTCTCTATAATGATTAAAAATAGCAATTGAAGAGGAACTCTGAGGAGAAATGAAAAAATGAAATTGTTATGTCTTGTCAGAACTTTACAATTGTATTTTAAAACTAAACACTCTAAAAAGCACTTGATACTACCATAATTCTTTAGACCGTTAAAATCTTGTTGATTTATCTTAAGATAGTTCTCTTCATAGGCAAAAAAGTAATCATTTTAAAACTTATACAAAATTAGCTTATACATATTTGCCCATAATACTTGTATAATAAGATAAAAGACATAAATTCTGTTTTTTAGGTTTTTTTAAGTTGAAAATCTTTAGGTTTGGTAGTCCAATTAGGTTTGGTACCAATTAGGATTCATAGTCAACACTGTTTCACTCAAGGTACCCTAACATAATAATCCTTCTTCGTTATTCTATTTTGTCCCGCTTGACACTTCAGAAATGTCCCCAAAAAGACAGAAGTTTCCAACATATTTATTTCCTTAAGAGCTTCTCCATACAGCATACAGTAATCTTGGATTCACTTACAGATCCTTAACCACAGAATAAGGAGCTTACTTGACTCTGCATAAGAAATTCTGTGGGCAAAAATGTAAAAAGTAAAAGATGTGATCCTGCCCTCAAAGGCTCTCAGTCTTAACTGGGGAGACAAACACACACACCAATTAGAAATGAATAGTGACACACAAGTAGCACGTAAACTTCTGCAAGATAATACTTTAAATCATGGATGAAAAATTGAATCAAAGAAAACACAGTATTAGATTTTTCAAAGGTTTTCAAAATATCCTCCTAACTATAATGTTCTCTTTCCTGTTCAAAAGAATCTTCTCAACTCCTTCAATCCACAAAGATCTCATCTTTCCACAACAATCTTAACTAGACTCTTTGAAGTATTCGATACAGGTCTGCACTGCCAACATCCACATCACTAACTCATCTTCAAACTTTTTGCCCAACAATTCTGCACAATTATCACCCTAGTTCCATCTATCCTTTGCCTCACAGAAAACCCTAAGTCATCAGGAAGTCAGTCAGTCATTCCTTCAATGAAGAAAAGGAATCTTCTGCCACATTCTCATTCTTCATTTGGAAGGTGAAACAGGGTATTGCCCTGAGAAAGAACAAGTTGCCCCCTGTTACCTCTTTAACACAAAATACGTTTGGCAAAAAAGGAAGCATGTGATGTAGATGAACAGATGCACAGAACATCAATGCCTGCAATTAGCTCTGTGTAATAACAGAGAACAGTACTTATTGACTTTCCTTATCCCAATTTAGAATACACTATTTAAAACATCAACTCCATTTTAAATGTTGAATTGCTCAACTACTGGCACTTGTTTTAAAAAGTCCCCTGGTGTCAAGAAAAGAGGGCAATGGCTCTGACCTGGAATTGAAACATAAATAGCAGTGTGGCCTTTAACAAGGAGCCTATCATCTCAACCTCAGTTTCCTAGAAAATAAACTTAGTCATTGGGTATATTGTGCTAAGTAAGATAAATAAAGTATCCCAATTTTCTGATCACATATCCCAATTTCCAGCATAACTCATAACTATGAAATGTGTGTTCAGGATTAACATTGAGTCCATATAGATAGGTGTTACAATGCCAGACACTGCCTGGTTTCACAAGGTCTAATGCAGGGACATCTTAAAAATAAATTGGTAACATTATTTTTATTCTTATTTAACAACAAGAACAGAATACTCTTTCATAAAACAGCCTAATATTAGGTATCCACCCTCAAAAAAATTAATAACTGACAATTAAAAAATAAAAGTAAAGATACACCAATATAAGGAAGCCCAGGTCTACAAAGGCGTATTTAACTAAATAGCCTAGGAGGAAGCATGATAACAATGAAAAAACATGGATTTGAGAGTCTGATGACCTGAATTTAAACTTCAACTTGACCACTTACTAGCAATATGCCCTTGTTAAGTCACTTATCTTTTCTGAATCTGGATCTCTGTTTACAAATGAATGAAAGGATAAAATTGTGCACATGAGTGCTTGGTATGCACAAAAAACTTTAGCTGTATTCTCTTTCCCCTATGAAACACTGATTCACAAAGACAGGCAATACTCATGATGGGAGGGATAACCTATGGATTTAGAAGCTCAGTGATTTATGAGGAGTCTGCAGGGAAAGTACAGAATAGGCAGTTCCCAACTGAGAAAAATACTGGTGTCCAAAAGTTGAACTACAAGTCAGTTATTCTGAAATAGAATTACTTTTTCTTCCCCCAAGAAACTCATAGAAAGGTTACATTAAAAAAAAAAAAAAAAAGGACAATTCAGCTACAAGTCACTGACGTAGCTCCCAGATGAGAGCTCTACTCCCCTGAACTTAAATGATAAAAATAAAAAATTAGTTTCACATTTTCTTTTCTCTATTCTGATGTCCCTAAAATAAATACACAGTTTTGTTTTTGTTTTTGTTTTTTTGAGGTTGTCATGGTATTTTATCATTAACAACCCTGACAAAGAGACAAGAATTACCTAAAAAAAAAGGCTCCTTTTTATGCCTGATAGTCCTATACCAAGGATTCAGTTCTAATTATAAACAAACTCATTTGTAATGACAGAATTTCTGAGATGGGGAGATTAAGTCCACTCTCTTCAAACTGCAGCCATGAATTCTCCTTGTCACCCCACCATCACCCTTCCCTGTTTGCCCACACTATTTGGAAATCTATGGATACCTGGGTGACAACAGTAGGTCAGAGCCAATAGGTATAACAAAGAAGATCCAACCTGTCAGAAGAATGCCAGGTTCTGAGGGTTTTTTCTGGGCAATTCATGCTGCCACTGACAATGACAAATCAGAGGGGCAATAGGAGAAGAAAGGAGCTGTGGATATAACAACAAGACACTTATGCTGGGGCAGAAAGAGCAATAATAATAGCAAACACACAGCATCTACCACATCCACAGCACTACTGGAAACATCTATTCAAGTAAGTCCTTTAACCCTGACACAATCTACTCCTTTACAAATGAGGAAACAGAGGCACAAAAAAGATATGTAACTGGTCTAAGGTCAGACCACTAGTAAATGATGAAGCTAGCATTTGAACACAGGCAGTCTAGCTCCAGAGTCCACAATTTAATTTCTACAACATGATGCTTCTTGATAGGAGGCAGATTTACCTTACGATTCTCTTCCCTGTTCCAACATTCAAAATTGCCACACAGACTGTGCCCTACATCCGGTGAAACTAAAGGAAGAAATAGGGATCCAAAGTGAACAAAGTCTGATATGAAAAAGACTGTTACAGACATTCAAATTGGCTAACTGTCCACAGAAGTATTTACAAGTTAGAATTATGTATTTTAGAAATCACTGGTAGGTCTATGAAGATGGGTAATATTCACCATTTATGTAATGTTCATATATGTTTAAACAATCACTCTTAAAATTCAAGATTTTAAGAAAGTCTTTAATAAAAAGCCTCTCTACATTAATAGTCAAAGTACATTCAAAAACATGGCCATTACCTTTCAAGGTATTAAATCCCTCAACACAATGAGAGTTAAAAATACAAAGTATATTATTATAATTGTTCTACTGCATTATGAATTATTGTTGTTAATCTCTTACTATGTCTAATTTATAACTTAAGCTTCATCATAGGTATGTTTGTTTAAGAACAAACAAGACACAGAGATATTTTGGGTTCAGTTCTAAACTACCACAATAAAGCAAACATCACAATGAACAGTCATGCAAATCATATAAAAGATATATTTACACTATACTGTAGTGTATTAAGAGTGCAATAGCACTATATCTAAAAAAGCAACATATATACCTTAATTAAAAAATGTTTCATTGCTAAAAAATGCAAACAATCACCTGAGCCTTCAGCAAGTCTTAATATTTCTGCTAGTTGGTAGAGGGTCTTACCCCCATGTTGCTGATGTTGACTGATCAAGGTGGTAGTGGATGGATGCTGGGGTGGCTGTGGCAATTTCTTAAAATAAAATAACAATAAAGTTTGTTGTATGAATTGACTTATCCTTTTGTGAAAGATTTCTCTGTAGCATGCAATGCTTGCTGTTCGATACCATTATACCCACAATAGATTGTCTTTCAAACTTAGAAAATTGTTAATGTTGTTATTTTGACCCCCTCCCATGAATCAAGAATGTTCTTAATGGTATCTAGAATAATGAATCCTTTCCAAAAGGTTTTTCATTGACTTTTCCCAGATCCATTAGAGGAATCACTATCTATGACACCTATAGCCTTACAAAATATATATTTCTTAAATAATAAGACTTGAATGTCAAAATGATGACTTGATTCCTGGACTGCAGAATGGATACTGTGTTAGCAGGCATGAAAACAACATTAATCTCCTTGTACATATAGGTACATTGTCAATGAGCAGTAATATATTTTGAACAGAATTTTTTCTGATGAGTAAGTCTCAACACTGGGATTAAAATATTCAGTAAACCATGTCATAAATATATGTGCTATCATCTAGGCTTTGTTGTTCCACTTATAAAGCACAGAAAGAGTAGATTTAGTATACTTTTTAAAAGCCTTAGGATTTTTGGAATGGCAAATAAGCACTGGCTTCAAGTCACCAACTGCATTAGCCCCTAACTAGAGAGGCAGCCTTTTCAAAGCTTTGAATCCAGGCACTGACTTTTCCTCTCTAGCTATAAAAGTCCTAGATGGTATCTTCTAATATATGGCTGTTTCATCTACATTGAAAATCTCTTATTTAGTGTAGCCACCTTCTTCAATTATCTCAGCTAGATCTTCTAGATAACTTGTGGCAGCCTCTATATCAGCACTTGCTGCTCCACCTTATACTTTTATGTCAGAGTCAGCTTCCTTCCTTAAACTTCATGAACCAACCTCTGCCAGCTTCAAACTCTTCTGCAGCTTCCTCACCTCTCTTAGCCTTTATAGAATTGAAGAGATTTAGGGCCTTGCTCTGGGTTAGGCTTTGATTTAAGGGAATGTTGTGGCTGGTTGGATCTTCTATGCAGACAAATTTCTTCCTACCAGCATCAATAAGGCTACTTTGCTTTCTTATCATTCATGTGTTCACTGGAGTAGTACTTTTCATTTCCTTTAAGAATTTTTCCTTTGTATTCACAACTTAGCTACCTGGAACCAGAGGCTTAGCTTCTAGCCTATCTTTGCTTTAGATGTGTCTTTCTCACTAAACTTAATCATTTTTAATTTTTGATTGAAAGTGAGGGAAATGAGACTCTTCCTTTCACTTGAACACTTAGAGGCCATTATAGGGTTATTAACTAGCCTAATTTCAATATTTTCATGTCTCAAAAAATAGGGAGGCCTGAGGAGAGGAACAGAGAAGGGAGAATAGTCAATGGAGCAGTCAGAACACACACATTTATCAATTAAGTTTGCCATATGGGTACGGTTTGTGTTGCCCCAAAACAATTAGAATCGTAACACCAAAGATCACTCATTGTAGATCACCATAATAGTTGTAATAATGGAAAATTTGAAATTGTGAGAATTATGAAAATGTGACACAGAGACACAATGTGAACACATGCTTTTCGGAAAATGGCAACAATAGACTTGCTTGATGCCAGGTTGCCACAAACCTTCAATTTGTAAACCTGCATTATCTGTGAGGCACACAATAGGGAAGTGCAATAAAACAAAGTATGCCTATAAATAGGATTGGGTTAGTATCGTGGTTTCAGGCACCTACTGAGGGTCTTGGAATGTATCCCACACATTCTGGGGAAGGGGGGAACAAATGTATTCAAATTGTGCAGAAAATATTAGTTCCCCTCTAGCTGCTATTCATGTATTTTGCTTGTGGCCATGTCACCATTTGTTTATAACTGAACCTAAAATCTTTTTCAGTAGGCTTGGCACGCAGAACTATAAGACATATCAATAATGGTTAATGAATTCAGTATTTGGTAGGCACCATAGCACCAGGCAAGCACAGTTTACACATGTAACATCATGTGAGTGAGGACTCTGACTACCTTGCTCCCCAGAGTATCTTCCAGTGCCTGGTACATTGTTCTATTTTCCAGATAACACAACAGACAAAAAGAGCTTGAGGTCTTATTCAAGGTCACCCAGCTAGTGAGTGGAGAACTTGGACTTGAACCCTACTGTGCCTGAGTTCAAAGCCTAAACTCCACCACACTATACTGTATTTTCCATATTGTCCTGCAAGATCACATGGTGGAAATATATTATCAAATTTTATTTTTAAAAAGGAAGAGGAGGAGGTGGAGAACAATGTATTATATGTTGCTACTATTTGTATAAAGTCACCCTACAAGTTTATAAAAGCATAGGTTTTCTGCAAGTTTTTCAAAGACACCAGTAACAGGATATGGCAGGGCTGAAGAAAATGAGAGAAACTTACTTTGCACTGCATTTCTTTTGTGTTTTGTTAATTTTATATCTAAATATAGGCTTGCCATATTTATCAAATAAAAATACATGATGCCTAGTTAAATCTGAATTTCAGATAAATGAACAATTGTTTAGTGTATGTCCCATGTAATATTTGGGACATATTTATCCTAAAAACTAATCTGCTATTTATCTGCAATTCAAATGTAACTGGGCATCTGTTATTTTATCTGGCAACCCTACTACGTATGTATTAGCCTAAAAAAAGTAAAATTTATAAAATCATTTTTAATGTAAGGGCTTCATGCTTCCGGTAAAACTTCAATATAATGACAGAGTTGCCAAATCCTTAATAAATCTCTAAAGATTTCACCTGTGACCATATGATTTCCCAACAACTATTTGATAACACTGGTGTCAGTGGGGAATAAAAATGAAACAGAATATTTAGTATTATTTAGAAACAGGAACTGATTAATTGACTAATCACTTTACTTTTCAACAAGTTGTACTAGTAATGTGTAGGCACAGCTTTTATGTAGTAGAGAATCAGTGTTGGAAACATAAAATGAATCATTCTGTCTGGTGCAGATTATATGGCAACCAACAAGTGAAAATATGTTTTATGCTAAAAATAACTCTATGAAGAGAAACTGCCCTAAATGCATACAATTTTCTAGTTATCTTAAACAATTCTGACTGAAAAAGGAATACAACATTAAAAGAGCTTGCTGCAATGGCGTGCAGCTTGTCAAAGTTGCTCAGCATCTGTTATTGCATTTAAATTTAGCATTTGTTTCATTCATAGCTGCCTTAGCACTACCTGAAGTTAGCAGACAAAGGTGCGCTTGTAATCAGTTGCAGGTAGATTGTCGTGAATTCAATTGTCCAGGACAGCAATACTTACACTTTCAGTCATAATTCCTACTTTGCGGAAACATTACTGAACTATTGCTCCAAAAGCATAGAAACGTCATACAGTCACCCAGAAAAATCATACAGTCATCCAACAGAAAACACTCAGTCTTTTCTTAGCATCTGTTCTCCTGAACTTCTCCCTCATTTTTATAGGCTTTGATCAAAAATGTATTCATAAACACAATTTTTATTTCCAAGTTGACATGCATAAATCTTCCCAAATGTCTTCAATAATAAAATGTATTAATTCTATTTTGCTCCCAAAGTCAAAGAAAATCAAGTATCAAGGAACCTTTACAACCTACTTCAAATGTTGACTGATATTCTTGTCCTTCCTTTATAAAACCATTAAGATAAATTACCTATCTAAAGTCAAAGTGCAGAGGAGGTCAAGGGGTTTGAAAAGAACTCAAATTCTGTAATTTACCGATTCAGCAAACATACACAGTCTACATGACTGGCATGTGGTAGGGTGGCAGAATTGGACAGAAATGAGGACACTGTCTGGGAGCTCACATGCAAGAGAATGAAAGAAAAAGAAGTAAACAGACAATTAAAATACAGGAACATAAAAGAGGGATACCAAATCCAAACTGAGGAGTCAGAGATAGCTTCCTGGAGTCACAGACACCTGCACAGAATCCTAAATAATAGGTAGGAATTAGTCAAAGCAGAACATGTAATCAAGGCAGAAGCGCATAGTACCTTCTGAGCAGCGCAAGTAGTTCCTTATACAGTACCTGGATAGAGGCTGAGGGAAAAGGTGATAAAGCTGGGGATGTGAGTAAAAGCCAAATTATTGAGGGCCCTGCATACCATTCTTAAAGATTTTACATTTAACTTGGCAAAGTTTAGATTTAATTTATTTTGGCAAAGTGAGTGGCATGGTCAGATTGCGTTTTAGAAAGATAACTCTGGTGAAAACATACAAAAATCAAGAGAAACTGGGAATAAGGAGGCCAGGTAAGAGGCATCTTCAAAAATAAAGATGAAAGTGAAAATAAATGAAAATGGAAGACAGATTCAAGAATTAATTAAGAGCTATAAGCATGAGCTAGTAATGTGGAGGTAAGGAAGATGAGACTAGGATGGATCCCATTTTCCTGCTCGAGTTATTGATTGGATTATAAAACTAAAAGAAATGGTCAGGGTATATCTACAAATATCTTTCTGATCAAGAGTCTGAATGGCTGAGTAATAGGACCTTATGATATAGGACCTTACATTGCTCTGGACTGAAATGTGTTGCCCCAAAATTCCTATGTTGCTCTGGACTGAAATCTGTTGCCCCAAAATTCCTATGTTGAAGCCCTAACCCCTAATGTGAATGACTCTGGAGTCTTTTAGGAGACTATTAAGGTTAAATGGGATCATAAGGGTGGGGCCCTAACTCAACGGAATTAATCTAATAGAAACCCAATAGAGAAAAAACTCTCTCTCTTTTTCTCTCTCTTTTTCTCTCTCTTTCTCTCTCTCTGTCTCTCTCTTTCATATATATAGAACAAGCACTGCAGAAAGGCCATGTGAGGGCACAGGGAGAAGGCAGCTGTGTGTAAGCCAGGAAGAGAGCCCTCACCAGAAGCCAAACCCTGTCACACTCAGACCTTGATCTTAGACTTCTCAAACTCCAAAACCGTGAAAGAATAAATCTCTGTTGCCTTAGCCACCTAGTCTAAGTAATTTGTTATGGCAGACCAAGATAATATAGATTTCAACCTTCTCATAGCACCCCTCCTTCAAGGAATATGCTATCATGCACTATGCTTCACCCCTCTCCTCCAACTATAACCAAGGGAACCAGGATCGGGCTCCTTACCCAAGGGAAGCCAATCTAAGTGCTGACTTTAAAAGTAGATATGGATTAGAGTCTCTCTCTTGGGAAGATAAGAAATATTGAGAGAATAAACCAATTACTGGTTGAGCAAGAGTTGAGAAGATAGAAGGCTGAGTTAGGGTTAAAAAAAACTAAAATGGGATACATGCAAGCCAGAGTTATGAGAGAGCAAAAACAAATCAGTTGCTAGACATTAAGAGAGGCAGGTATTCCTTGGGAGATCCAATATAGCCAACGAAAGGGAAACAGAGTAATTGGTCCCTACATCCCTACTATCACAATCACTGATATCCATTTTGCCAGAGGCGATTTGTATGAGGCTTTGTTTGCTCCAAACACACCTAACTATTACAGCTTGCTTTAATATAATACCTTATCATCACATCCTAAACAATCCCAGCTTACAAAATGCTATTTCTCCTTTCCTTCATTTGAACACTCTTCCAAAAAGATTTGAGGGAGCTTACAAGCAAATATAAGTTTAATAGGACCATGAAGATAATTAAGAATCCAACAGAATAAATAGTTATATCAGAAAAACAAGGCACAGAGAAGCTCCTACTGTGGTGGGTGAATAAAATGCTATGAAGTATTCTGTTTTGCTTAGAGCCTGAGAGAAGCCACCAGGTTGCAACCAAACAAAAGATAGATCTACTGTAGAAAAAAGGTATGTGGGATCTAAATAACAAGTAGTTTTCATTATATAAATGAAACAACAGTAACTGTGAACAATATTTACAATTAATAAAAATATTTCTGCCTAGAAAATTCCATTCATAGGAGGATTAAAGTGCTCTTCAAACTCCACTAAAAAAATAAACCAAATATGCATGGTAAAATTTAAGATACCACTAAAAAAAATCAATTGGAATATATATAATTTATATATCAAGAGGAAGGGCTGGGCACTACAGCTTACGACTGTAATCCTAGCACTCTGGGAGGCCGAGGCGGGCAGATTGCTCAAGGTCAGGAGTTCAAAAGCAGCCTGAGCAAGAGTGAGACCCGGTCTCTACTATAAATTGAAAGAAATTAATTGGCCAACTAATATATATAGAAAAAATTAGCCGGGCATGGTGGCGCATGCCTGTAGTCCCAGCTACTCAGGAGGCTGAGGCAGAAGGATTGCTTGAGCCCAGGAGTTTGAGGTTACTGTGAGCTACGCTGACGCCACGGCACTCTAGCCTGGGCAACAAAGCGAGACTGTTTCAAAAAAAGAAAAATAAAAAAGGAGGAAGAAAGATTAACACAAAATACTCAAGCAATCTAAAGGAGATTAGGAATGGAGAAAAAAAGAAAAAAGCATAGTAAACAAAAAACACAACACAAGGATTGAAATAAATCTAGATATCCATATTCACGTTAAATATGAATGAGTTAGACTCATTTATTAAAGAACAGATTGAATCTAGATATCAAAATTGAATTATAGAATCTAGATATCAAAATTGAATTATATAATAAGTATAGTTTATTCATCTATATTTTGAAAATAATATAAAATAATATGTGCTACATATAAATAGTATGTATATACTTTCATTATATTTAACAACTGACTGAAAGGACACATTCTAAAATCACATTAGTAATTTTTAGGGGTATACAAATGGAAGTGGTAGCCTCAGATAAGGGACAGATCACAGATCAAAGGGGGGGATTTAGTTTTTTTTTCCAATAAACTATATTTTTATAGTGTTTTAAAATTACACATGTAAAAAGCAATGGGGTTGAAATATTTATGGATAAAATGGGACAATGTCTGAAATTTGCTTCAAATAAATTAGAGAGGACAGGGAAATGGCTCACAGTTAAGAAATAAAACTAGCTATGAACTAATAGTTATTAAGACTGAATAATGAATATGTGCAGATTCACTGTCTTTAGGTATATTTGGAATTTTGCATAATATAATTTAAAAAACTACAGCAGTTAATATGTGAAAATGTTAACAATATCTAGTTTTGGAGGCTAGGACTAAAGATGATTAGTTCATCCTTTATAATTCATAATATTTTCAAATCTTCCCTACCATACTTCCTTGGCAAAAAAAAATTGACCTTAAACTACTAATTTACTTGGGAAAAGTTTTTTTTACCATTGGTAAAGGCTCCCCCAAAAATAATTTCTTCAGGCTAGATTACTTAAATCCAGCAAAACTATGGGACACATTATGAAAAGATTTCCTCAAAATTTAATATTGCATAAGGAATCATTTTCAGTTTTACCATTAAAAACAAAGCTTTATTCTCATTTTCTGATGGCACTCTGCTTCTACTTTCCACAAGTTGTTTGAGATAAGAGCCTTAGAAGCAGATGCTAACCAGAGTTGGCCCTGGATTGGCCAACTCCACATCACAGAGCAACAGGACAGGAAGTGATGAACAACTCTTGCTGTTCTACTTCTGAACGTACATACAGTGCAAACCAAAACTCCACATTTGGGAATGATGGATGAACCTAACAGAGTACAAAAATATAAATCTGCTTCAATTATGAGGAAATTTATTTATTTTTCATGAGTATGCAAACTGACATTTCAATATAATGAATAGTTACATAATATATATAAACTAATACTAAAATATGGAGAAGTGGCATATTAATCCACAATTATATAAATATACTAATTGAAAATCATTACTTTGACCAAGAATCCACATACTAAAGTTTTGGTATCATATCATTCCTTTTCTTAGGAGTTTTCTAAAGTGAGGTGGGAGGGCTCTACTGAAAATGAAAATACATATAACATAGAAATTAAAATATTTTATTACTTCTAAGTATACTTACACAACAAACGTATTTATACTAACAAATATTTTCATTAGATTTACTTTGGTTTTGAAAGTTACTTTTATTTTTAAGGTTGCTGGCCTGAGGTGGAAATGCTTTGTCCTTTCAAAAAGTATATATCATCTTTCCTTAATTGCAGATTCTCTAAACCAGGTAGATACTAGTTTTCTAAAAACTTTTTACCAGATTCATACTCACTTCCAGAATTACACATTTAAATCATATTTTGTGATGCTTTTGAGTTAAGTATCCTTATTTACTGCTTATACTCAACAATGAAGTCAATTCAATTTTAGAGTTGAAAGGAGTCTCAAAAAACACACAGGTGACAAACTGAAGCTCACTAAGGTTTGATTACATAATAAATCAGTGGTGTGTCTGAGATTAGAACTTCAGACCACTATTACTTAGCTATTTGAAAGGCTGGACTTCCCTTCTTAAAAAATATATTAAACAAATCAATTCAGTTTATAGTCCATTGTATTACAAATATTTATTTCTTTCCCCTCAATCCTCATCCATAATTTAAAAGTGTCCAAAATACACATTAAATAACTGTGGATTCCAATACTTTCTCTCTAGACATCCATGTTTCCATGTTCACATATTTTCCTTCCTTAATGTTCTCTTAGCATATCCTTATAGAACAGGGACCTCCTCCCAAATTAACTCACACCAAACATCGTGACTCAGGGAAAAGATTTAAGTGCTCTGAGAATTAAGATTTAGCCTCTTCTGTTCTCTCATTCCCTAGTTAAACTCAAGGAATTTAGGTTGTTGGGCAGTTGCCTCTGTTTGCTGCCCACATTTTCAGTGGTAAGAGCCAAGATGCAACATGCCAGGCATATTTCTTGGACAGAACCAGGCAGGGCGATTCCTTCAAGGACTGCCCTTACCGGTGAATGACAATGTGCCGATGCTGCACTCCAGAGAAAGCTATATACCCACAAAGCACTTGTTTTAGCCATGTTATTTTCTTGGGGAAACTTAAAACATGTAGAAGCATTAACTTTATGCCACAGAATTCTCCAGTGCAATTCCTACGCTGGCAATGAATTCTCCAGAGAAATTACTTCAGGCTCCTACCTCCTGCCCTTTTGCCTGCCTGGAAGGAGGCAATCCTCCAATGAGCCCAAGTAAACTGTGTCCTTGGTGCTTATAAAAAACATGGGTACTTACCCATGGGACTCAGAAACACAGCTGGCAGCTGGTCTCTGCTAGGACTTATCAACTGCAGGAGGAGGTGACAGTACAGAAGATGACTCTCATTTCTCAGCTGCCCTCTCAGACTGGATTTTCACTGAGTTTGTGAGATCTCAATGACGCTACTGGAGCAAAACAATACATGGCTTGTCAGTTGTGACTGAGCGACTCCTAGGGGTAAAGCACACGGGAAAGTGAATAGAGACAATATTTCTAATGCAAACAAAAGTGTGGAAAAGGGAGATAGAAGGAGGACCAGAATATTACAACCATCCTGCTTCAACTTCCCTCCCCATCCAACCACAAGTCTGCGCTATTCTCTCAAGGTCATTTTCTAGGGTTTTACCCCTAAGTCTGAAAATAACTCTACTTCCGCCATTGGCCCTATTATTGTTCCAAATTGCTTCTCCTGTTATGGAATCTTTTCTACAAAAAATATAAAGAGTGTCGTCTATCATATCGCCTACATGGATATCACTGAGCTATAAGTACTACACATAATTAGATATTTTTATCCTTCCCCATCAATCAGTGCCTCCTAAATTCAGTTTGTGGCTTTTATAATTTCCCTTTGACGAATTTGGATAAGAAAAAAGATAAAGTTTACAAACTTTACTCAAGAAAGGGAAGGCTCAAATTTCTAATCTGAAGTCCTCTGGGAAGAAAACAGAATATTGGAGTAATATTTAATGTGGCAGTTTTTCTTTCCTATGCTATGCTTGTGGTGACGAGTGGTTTGTACCCCCTGTTGGTTTAGTTCCAACTCTACATAGAGAATTACCATTACTGTGCACATACTGAGAAGGGTTTGTGAGCAAACACTCTTGCTCTGAGGCCATTCCTTACAATACTTTTTCATGGAGCAATTCAGAATCTTTAAATTTGGCTGGCAGAAGAAATCAACATTGTTTCCAATTACCGACTCTTATTAAAAGACGTAAAAAAAATTTTGTGAGCTTTTACTATTTCCAAACACATGATTTGTTAATACTACATTTTATTACACAAATGTAGAAGTACAGGGTCAAAGAGATTACTAACCTTCTCAAAGTCACCTAACCCAGACCTTTTATTAAGCAATCAGATTTCTACAGCCATTATTATGTGAGGTATTGAAAAGCCTACATAACATCTACACTTACTGAACAGTTTCAGCCAAAAGTAATCTCATTCAGCTACAAGAGGATTTAGGGGCAGAAAGGGAGAAGGAAAAAGGAATTAAGAATGAAGAAAGTTTAAAAAGCTCACTCAATCAGATGGGATGTTCGCCCTGACCAGATTCCCTAAGTTACAAACCGTTTAAACTTTGCCATTTTGCTGATTTAAAAAAGTAACCTTATTCCCCAAGCACAAATCCACCACCAAATACTCCCTTTAAGAGCCAAAACTTCTAAATATATATATATACATCACTGGAATGTCTAAAATGTAGGCTTGGTTGCAATACACAAATTAAAGCAACAATCTATTATTTGGGGCTTTTAAAAAATGCTATTAAATAACTAATAATAAAATTGCATTTAAGAATTGATTGCTCTTGCATCTACTATAATAATGATTTTCTCAGAGAATAGTCTCATAAAGTGAATTTTTTAGGCAATCAAACTGGTATCAGTTTTACTGTTTGATATGGAACTATTTATGAAACAGTTTTTATATAGCCCTATTTTCTTAAAGCATATATGCTTTCCACATATGCATTTCTTTTAATCCTACCAATAACTTCATATTAGATCATACTAGATACCCCCATTTTCAGACAGTAAAATTGTCAAAATGATAGTTTTTCCCCCTATATTCATGAAACTGTTTTTTTTTTTTTTTTGGTTTTTTGGCTTGTTTGTTTATTTGTTTGTTTGTTTGTTGAGACAGGGTCTCACTCTACTGTCCAGGTTATAGTGTAGTGGCAGGATCATACCTCACTGTAGCCTCTAACTACTAGGCTCAAGAGAGCCTCCTGCCTCAGCCTCCCAAGTAGCCGGGACTGCAGGCTCCTGCTACCACGCCCAGCTAATTTTCAGGGTTCCTTTTTTTTCTTCTTCTTCTTTTTGTAGAGATAGGGTCTCGCTATGTTGCCTAGGTTGGTCTTGAACTCCTGGCCTCAAGCGATCCTCCCACCTCAGCCTCCCAAAATGCTGAGATTACAGGTGTGAGTTACTGCCCCTAGCTCTAAAAAGCATTCTATCATTTCACAAGTTGTGAGATTTTTGGGTAAATTGTTTAACTTCTGTGAACTGCTCTTTCCTTTTTGTAAAGTACACTTTGAGCTGAATTTTGGAGTTTATAATTCTCAGGTTCATTTTTGCTTCTCTGAAGTACTGTGGGGTGTACGGCAAGACATTAGCAATAACATATACAAAATGCCTGAAAGTAATAAACATACAAAAGCTATTGTTATTTTTATATTATATTTTATTAGTGTCTATACACTAATATCTCAATTTTTACTGTTTCCAACTGCTATCAGATTAAGCAAGCTTAACTAAATCGGTAACTCCTTAACACAAATCAAAATTGATCATCTCTGGGTTGGGAACTGCAAATTACAACATGTCTCGCCTATGCAGTAAAGTACACAGCTTTACATTTCCTTTTCCATTGCTGAAAATTATATGAACCATTTGTACTATTAAGGATCCCAAAAATTACACCCCACAGTACTTCAAAGAAGCAAAAATGAACCTGAGAATTATAAACTCCAAAATTCAGCTCAAAGTACTGACATTTAAAAGTATTACGTTATCTACCAGAAAAGACAGATGGAGAAAAATAGATTTGATGTACGGCAAGACTCAGATAAACAAATAAGGGAGGAAAGGAAGAAGAAATAATGAGGTGAAGAAGCTAAAAGGGAGAAGAGATATAAAGATGGAGTGACAGCAAGATGATTTAGAAAACTCCCAGAAAATTCCTTAGCATCCACCAGGCTAACAGGAGGTGGAGGAGAATGGTGTCGACTGAGGTTACAGATGCACAGGAAGAAGTGAGTCATTTTCCCCACCAAAGTGAAATCTGATCTCAAAGAAAGAACTTCAACTCTGTTTTCTTTCACTCACCAAGTAACTAAACACTGTAAGACACAATAAGTCTGAGTCACTTTCCTTGCTAACCCAATTGTCAGAATCCCCTTAATGTAAAAGCGCTCAGAAAATGTAAAGTGGTATGGAAGCATTAGACATTATTATTACTAACAATATTAGTATCAGAATGGCTAATTGATATTGTTTCCTAATTTTAAGAAAATAAACAGCAAAAAAATTATATAGACCTAGATATCGATACATAGAACACACATATATAGATATTAATATGTATAACACATCCCCCCCAAAACACTGCAACTTTCAACAAGTTGGAAGAGATGTGACACATGAATCATTTTGAAGGATGAGCAGATTAGGAGAGTTATCCGGAAGAGACAGGAGAGGGAAAGGCATTTCTTGCTAAGGGAAGGACACCTGCTAAAGAAACGAAACCATAATGAACCCAGAGAACTTAATGGGTTCTCTGAGGCTGTAGTACCTGGCTCCAGAATGACAGGAACTAGAAAAGCAATGTTTCCATGGCCTCACTGGACCTTATCCCTGCAGGAATGGTGAAGCCTGTAGAGAGACTAGGGAGGGAAATTGGTGGGTAGGAATCACTAAAATTTATTTTCTGGAAAATAACTCTGGCAATAGGGTAAATAACTCACCACAGACAAACAAGAACTAATGATAGTACAACCAGGTCTTGGGCTTAGAGAGCCTAGATTACAGCAACGGCAAGAACAAAAGGGGATACAGACTCATTCATTGGAGGGAATCAAAAGGACTCAATGACCACTAGGTAAGTGTTGGAGGCGGGAGGAATAAGTCAATGACAGCAATAGAGGCTGACTCTCCCAAAGTTTTTAATCTGGGAAACCAGAAATATCAGGACACCATTCCTGAAAGAACAGTAGGAAAAGAAATATCATGAGTTTTCAGAGGAAGGGGTAGAAATGTATTCCTTTTAGACACAGTGAGTTCAATATGCCTCTAGAAAATAGGAAATCGTAGAATTTTAATTTCATGAAGGTAGAAATTTTTGTTGTAGTTGTTGTTTCCTTTTTCTCTCAGTGCTATATCCCCAGCACCAAAAATAGTGGCTGGCCCAGAGTAAGCATTCAATAAATCTTTGCTGAAAGAATGAATCAATTACACATATCAATCTAAGAAAAATCTGGACATATAAAATATAAAATTAGGGAATCCCTGATCTCTAAATTGTTGAAAATAAAGGAGATCCATCAGGAAGAAGGTACAGATTAATAACAGAACTTGAGGCTGGAAGCCCAGCGAACATAAACATTTGAAAACAAGCATTATTTTAGTGGTAAAAATCTTTCAGAACTAAAAAGACTCCTCGTGCCTGATCACTCTAAACAAGTACCATATTCATAAAGCATCCACTATGGCCAATACATGAGGCAAGGTATAGTGTTACTATTTATTTAGCTAATACTAAATAAGATTTTGATTCCTATACCAATGTGAAAAAAATTATTTATAGAAATAATCTTAATAAGGGCAAATTAAATACAGGGAAGATCAAAAATACTTCAAATAAATATCAACTAATCATCTGTGAAATAAATTAAAAATCCTAGTAGAATCAGTAAGGTTCCTGTAAGCTCCAAAATGAAATAAAGTTTACATATATGAAAGGGAATATATCCAAAAAAATATAAAGTCTGATATGATCCTCTTATATACCTCCTTTCTAAACCAAAACAAATTTACCTTTAGATCTTCTGTTAATTGAACATGCATGCATCCAAGAAGAAAATAAAATGTGTCCACAATAATAAAAGCAGTATTTTTCATAATACATACTAAAGAATTGCTAGCAAAAACCTGTATTCCTCTGACAGCAAAGAGATGTCAGTGTCAAAATCCGCTTATAAGCTTGTCAGTCACTGGTAGCCTACATTGCTGAGAATACACTAAGGAGAGTTAGCCAGAGAGACAATTTACAACTTGCTGGCAAAATTCCAAGTAGTTCAGATAAGGGAAAACTGCATAAAGATACCCAAATTATTATGAACTTATCCAAACATGAACCTTAGTCATATAAGATAAATAAGCATGGACCAATTCAATCCTCTATTTATTAATAGTAATTTGCAGATAATGTAACAAGCAACACTATTTAGTTACCATTTGTAATTCTGTGAGATTCATTAGGGCCATCTTGATAACTGGTATTTTGTCTCTGAAAACATTTTAAAAGGTCTTATTCTCTCAATAAACATGACTATTTGCTTCCTAATTAACTCATCTACTATTTAGCTACATTCCTTAACTGTATTTTGGTACTCCAAGGACTAAATGTTCATATGAAGACCATAAACCAGCTTTTACTTTTATAATAATCCAGAGAACATATCTGCTTCAAATAGTGTTGTTTTATTTTTTGTTTGCCACTTAATTTCATTTAAGTGATCAAAAAGTAAAGACAAACATTACAAATGACCCAAAAAAAGCTGAATGGGTCTAACGGGAATAATCTGTTTTCATAATATAATGAAAACATCTCTTTTCTTGATTTTATCTGACCTTATACATTAGCTTCATGAGACAGAGCTGTGTTGACCAATATGGTAGCCATGAGCCATACCTAACTACTGAGCACTTGAAATGTGGCTAGTTTTAAATGTGATATGCACTAAGTGCAAAAGACAGAGCAAATTTCAAAGACTTCTGTTCTAAGAAAGCAAAATATCTCAATAATTTTTTATTGATTACATGTTGAAATATTTTGAATAAATTGGGTTAAATACATTATTAATTAATTTCAACTACTCCTGCTTTTTTCTTTACTATAGCTACAAGACAATTTAAAATTACATATGTGGCTCATATTATATTTCTATTGGACATGGATGATGTAGAACATGTGTTTGATGGTCTCAGTTGTAAACATAAACAGAATGGCAATCACCTGAATAATTCAGGCACCAAATTATTCCTTTGTTATCTAATTTACTATATGATTACCATATAAATTTGTCAGAAGCAGTGACAGATAAATCTATCAAAAATAAGTACTACTAAAAATATGCAAGTATGTAAGGAGTATTTGGGTAGCAGTCTGCAACTAAAGCATTCAGAGTTTAATACTGACCCTGCTGTGCTTAGACTCTTGATAAGATTGGATACAAAAGTTTATGGAAAACCTTAATAGTCACTTAATTTTTTTTCTTTACCTAGTCACATATCTTTAAAGATACAGTGTTTTCAAATTCCTTTTTTTACAATTATTAGTAGTATTTTTTAAACTATTGATTTACACATTTTGAAATTTTATATAACATCTAAATAAGGGCATGTAAATTCTATGTTTATCCAAAGGGGGAAGGAATTTAAGAAGACTGAGAAACACTGTCAAATACAAAAGTCTGACATACACAATTCAAATTTAAGGGGATCAGAATGTGCCACTCTAAAATATGCCACTTTGGCATAAGGATTATCTTGAGCTGAAGGCGAATGAGAAGCAGATGACAGAAGCAATCACTGCCCTTCCCTTTTCTGCCTATAAGCAGGGCACAAATTTCTTTGTAAATGTGACATAAATTTCCATTTATAAAGATGTTCCCCTCTCCCTTACCAGTAAGAGAACAACTCTTATAGTGAAAAAGGCATATAAGCCCCCCAGGTCTAACCACTTCTTTGGGTTTTCACTTCTTTCTGTGTAGCTCCAATCCAAATGAAATTAAAAACATCAATGAAATCTGTATGGCTTTTTCTCCTGTTTATCTTTTGTCAGTTTAATTCACAGGCTCAGCTATAGAACCTAAGAGAGTAAAGTTTTTCCTCCTCCACAAAACAAAGAATGAATACCCTATAAGACAATAAACAACGAGCAGGAGAGTTCTAAACTATTTTAAAATTCCTTAATGGTATATCTACACAATGACTAGTACTCGACAACAAACAGTACTAAA